TGCATATCAGCATGTTGGCAGAAAGGAACCAGACTCAGCTTGTGATCCTGACCCAACCACTGTTGTTTTGCAGGTATCTTTGTGAGAACATTTTTAACTGAATTTGCAAATCAGTGGGAGGTCGTGTGTTCCAGGTTTTGAACACAGCTTTAAAATTTGGAAATGCTTACTCTGTAAGTTGTTTTAAAACATTGATAGAAGCAGCAATTCAGAGCAAATGTTTCTCTCTGTAGAAGCTGGACAGTAAGCACTTTCAAACAGGAACCCTTATCATTTGCACAGCAGAATTTCTTGTGCAGTTAGAACTACATGTTTGTTTGTTTGCTTTAAAAATTAGATTTCCCTTGAAAAGCAATGGTTTAAATTAAGAAAAAAAATATTTATAAAACTTAAAAACCAGGTTCAAGAAGCTCTGCACTTAAAACAAGTTCTAAGGGTTTTAAAAATCCATAAACACCATGGGGTTCTCGCACTCCTAATTATGAATGTTTAGATTTTGGTGTTCATTTCCTCTGATTGAAATACTGCAGGATGAATTATTCATCCAGGATATACAGGGTCATGGAACTTAATCCCCTCCATTTATTTTAAGTGAATGTCATGTTTGTAAAAAGTGCCAGATTGACAGACAAGATTCAACCCTTCTGATAACCTACACATTGTATCTAAAGCTGTTTAGAAGTTAAACACAAGTTTAACTCTTGTGGTTAAAATTATTGGGTCAAGTCCTTCACTGATGAAAGTCAGAGATGAAAATCAGGGGGGTTTTTTTGAGTACCATAGTTTTAAATCACATAAGGTGAAGTTTTCTCTATCCCCTCAGCTTTAGATTTGGACCAGAGGAGGCCTCTGGCTGCTTTGTGGGTATGGCTCAAACCTTCCCTGAAGCAGAACTGCGCTACACGCCAGGCCAGTCCTTACCCGTCCCAGTGCCGCCTGCTTGGCTGGCTGAAGGCGCCTACTGGCATTCACATCATCATGGTTTTGAGTGGTAAAGCTTTATAGCACTGGAACTAAAATAAGAATGATTCATTAATTCAGTGAGGCAGCAACAACAGCTTTCCAGCATTGGTGGCCTCTGACAGGTCGCAACTGGCGGTCCCAACCCAACTGCCTCCATG